CAGAGAAGCCAGTATATACCACCCTGGGGCACAAAGATAGATGCTCAGCCCACTGATGCCAATGCTGGGGACCTGAAGACTCTCCCACTGAGCATCCCTGTCCCTAGCACAACTTTACCATATGCTCCACTAATAACCATGTCCAACTGGCCAAAGAAATCACACATATCACTAATACTATTTACAGTCAAAGAAATACACAGAAAGTATACTACTACTGCACGTAACCATAATCAAAGCCAAAGCACCCCACCAAACAAGCAACATAGATACATTTTCAAGAAAATGTCTTCTTTGAGAGTAAATTAAAAAATAGGAGGAAGCCGCCGTTATACCAGATGCACAGATTTTAACATAAGGACACAGGAAACATGAAAGAACAAGGAAAGGAACACAAGAATTCTGCAGAAATAGATCTTAATCAAAAAGAAATTTTTGAAACTCCAGGCAAAGAATTCAAAATATTGATGTTAAAGAAGTTCAGTGAGATACAACAGAATTCTGAGAATCAATACTATGGAAACCAGAAAAACAATTCAGGGCATAAATGAGAAATTTATCAAAGAGATGTATATTTTTAAAAGTAATCAAATATAAATTCTGGAACTGAATAATTAATTGAAGGAAATACAAAACACATCTGAAAAGTTCAACAATAGACTAAATCTGGCAGAAGAATCTCAGAACTTCAAGACAGGTTTTTTGAAATAATCTAGTCAGACAAAAATAAAGGGAAAGGTACAAAAAAGAATCAGCACAGCCTTCATAACATTTAGGACAATATAAAACAATGGAACTTATAAATTATTGGTATCTATAAGGGTGAAAAAAACAAAGAAATATTGGAAAACCTACCCAACAAAATAATACATGAAAACATCCCAAGTCTAACAAAAGATTTAGACATAGAGATACAGAAGACCCAATGATCCCCAGGCAGATGCCCAGTGCAAAATGTCTTCTCCTTGGCACATTATAGTCAGATTGTGTGAAGTCAAAGTTAAAGAGCAAATTCTACAAACAGCAAGAGAAAAGCATCTAGCTACCTCTAAAGGAAATACCATTTGACTAAGAGGAGATCTCTCAGCAGAAACCTTACAGGCAAGAAAAGAAGGAACTGATATATTCTAAGTACTAAAAGAAAAAATAACTGCCACCACAGAATATTCAAAGAAACTATTCTTCATAAATAAAAGAGAAATAAAGTAATCCCAAGACAAATGCTGATGGAATTTATTACCACTAGACCAGCCCTGCAAAAAATACTCAAAGGAGTCCTAAACCTGGAAGCAAAAGGATGATTTTATCATCATGAAAACACATGAAAGTAAAAAATTCACTGGTAAAGCAATCATACAAATGAGAACTAGAAAGGACTCAAATGGTACCACTACATAAATCCACCAAATCACAAGGACAAACAATAAGATAAAAGGAAAGAAACAAGGAGTCTTTAAAACAAGAAAATGGTTAATAACCTGACAGAAAGGAAGCCTCACAAATCAATAATAGCCATCTATGTAAATAGATTAAAGTATCCTCTTAAGAGATATAGAAGGGCTGAATGGATTTTAAAAATGACTCAACCATATGCAGCTTAAAGAAACACACCTTAAGAAAAGACACATATAGACCAAAAGTCAAAGGATGGAGCAAGATACTCCACACAAATGGAAACCAATAGTAAGCAGCAGTAACTATACTTAGATAAAACAGACCTCAGGTCAAGAGCAGTAGAAAAAGACAAAGAAGGTCATTATATAATGATGAAGGGATCAACCCAGCAAGAGGATCTAACAATTCTGAATATATATGCACCCAGCACTGGAGCAGCCATATCTATAAAGAAAATATTGCTAGATCTAAAGAGAGAGATAGAATGCAATACAATAAGGTAAGAAGCTTCACCACCCTATTCTCAGTATTAGACAGAACATCTAGACAGAAAATCAACAAACAAACATCACATTTAAACTACACTATAGACCAAATGGAACTAACAGACTTTTACAGAACTTCTACCCAACAACTGCAGAATACATATTCTTTTCATCAGTATGTGAAACATTCTCCAGGATACACCATATATTCGACCACAAAATAAGTCTCTATAAATTAAAAAAAATCAATATTATACTAAAAATATACTCAGACCACAATGGAACAAAACAACAAGTCAGCACCAAGAGGAACTCTGGAAACAAGACAGATGCATGGAAATTAAACAATATCCTCTTAATGACCTACCAGGTGAAAATCTGTACAGGAAAAACTAAAAAACACTGATGAAAGAAATTGAAGATGACACAAACAAATGGAAAAACATCCCATGCTCATGAACTGGAAGAATTAAGATCATTAAGAAGACCACATTTGTCTATAGCAATATAAAGATTCAATGCAATCCATGTCAAAATACCAATGTCAGTCTTCACAGAATTGTAAAAAACAATTCTAAAAGTCATATGGATCCAAAAAGAGCCTGAATATCCAAAGCTATCCTAAGGAAAAAGAACAAAACTAGTGGCATCACATTACCTGACTTCAAACTATATTACAAGGCTATAATAACCAAAACAGCATGATATGGCATAAAAATACATGCATAGACCAATGGAATATAACCCAGAAATAAGGCCACATGTATACAGCCAATTGATTGTCAACAAAACTGACAAGAACTTATATTGAGGAAAGGACACCTTCTTCAACAAATGGTGCTGGGAAAATCATATACCCCCACACAAAAGAATGAAACTGGATTCTTCTCTCTCATCATATAAAAAAAAATCTCAAAATGAACCATACACTTAAATATAAGACCCAAAACTATATTTTAAAAAAGCTAGAAGAAAACCAAGGGAAAACTCTTCTGAACATTGACCAGAAGAGTCAGAAATTATGACTAAGTTCTGAAAAGCACAGGCAACAAAAACAAAAATAAACACATGGGACTTAATAAACAAAAAGCTTCTGTCAGCAAAAGAAATATCAGAGTGAAGAAACAACCTGTTGAATTGCAGAAAATATTCGCAAACTATTCTTCTGACAGGCAACTAATATCCAGACTATATAAGGAACTCAACTCAACAGGAAAAAGCAAATAATCCAAGTAAAAAGTGGGCAAAAGACAGGAACAGACAGTTCTCAAAGAAGACATAAGAACAGCCAATACAAAAAAATGGTCAGCATCACTACTTATCAGAGAAGTGCACATCGAAACCACAATGAGATACCATCTTACCCAGTCAGAATGACTATTACTAAAATAAATAAATAAATAACAGATGTTGGCAAGGATGAGGAGAAAGATAACTCTTCTGTACTGTTGGTGGGAATTTAAACTAGTACAGCCACTTTGGAAAACACTACGGACATTTCTCAGGAACTAAAAATAGAATTACTATTCGATCACACAAGCAATCCCACTAATGGGTATCTACCCGAAGGGAAAGAAATAAATACATCAAAGAGACCCCTGCATTCACATGTTTTTTGCTGCACTATTCGCAATATCAAAGATATGGAATCAACCTAAGTGTCAATTAACAGATGAATGGATACAGAAAATATGGTATATATACTATTTGGCCATAAAAAAGAATGAAATCGTGTCATTTGCGGCAGCATGGATGGAACTGGAATTCATTATCTAAATTGAAATAAGCCAGACACAAAAAGACAAATATTGCATGTTCTCACTTACATGTGGGAACTAGAAAAATATTATCACATGGAGGTAGACAGTAGAAAGACAGACAACAGAGACTGGAAAGGGTCAGATAAGGGGAGGAGGGAAGATGAAGAGAAGTGAGTGAAGTGGTACAAACATAGAGTTAGAAGGAATAAATTCAGTGTTACGAAGCAGAATAATGTGATTTTAGTTAACAAGAATGTATTGCACTCAGGTGACGGACACTCTAAATATCCTGACATAATCACTATGCATTATATACATGCAACAAAATTTTACATTTACTCCTTAAGTTTGTAGAAATAAAAAACATTACAAATAAATGGTGGCAAATTCTAATACTTTCATAGGTATTAAAGATTAGCCAGATGCATACTGCACAGAGGAAAATGGAAAACCCTGTGAACTAGACCTAAAATTTTAATTTTCTCTGGATATTCCACTCATGTTGCCCAGAAATATGTCTTTTGTGCCACCTTTAACCGTGAGAAGCAGATTTTTTACAGGAAAGAAACTGCTAATCTCTATGATGAGGACCTAAAAAAACAACTTCTCCAGTCCACACTGCACTGAGTGGCAACATTAATTCCAAAGAAGTTTCTTCTGCACTGCAATTCACAAAATATGTGTCCTCCCTTTTGGTTTACATGAAGTGCTGCATGGTTCTTATTTTGGAGATGTCATTGAAATTTTGTAAGTAAGCATACTAGCTGTCAAGGAAAAACCTCCATACTCACGTTTTAAAAAATATCCAGCATTCTACTGTGACACACGGCAAACTCACCAGTGTCCACAGCTCTAAAGCCAGACGACGTGTGTGTGTGCTGAGGATGGGAGGCTATGGATGGGGATCATCTCAAGGGTAGAGACCAGGTCCCTGGCATCTCTTCTCCAGCCCCGTCTACATACAGATGTTCACTCTGTGAATGAATGAATGAGTGAATGAATGAGTGGCTACCACCCACACTGCCCCTGGGACCATTCTTCCTTTCACTGCCCCAAACACTCCCACAGACCCTACAGAACCCTATATCCTGCAGGACTGACTTTCTCATGGCTTGTGATGAGGCTGTGACTCTCTGAGGCCAGCAGTGACCAGCTCCCAGGTATAAACAGTGGGGCACAGAAAAGCACCTCAGAGTAGGAGGGCCTTAGACACGGGTGTCCCATTCCTCAGATGCCCCCGGAGGCCCTGGTCCAGGCTCTGGTGCTTGCAGGAAGCCCCGAGGTGGGAGGCGGGGCACAGTCTCTGCTCCTCTGCTCTCATTTGAGCAGGTCTCTGTGGTCTCTGTGGTCTCTGGGTCGCAAGGTTTCCGTCTGCTCTGTGCAGAGGGAGTGGAGCTCCGACGGCCTGTGGCTTCTGTGGCTTCCTCTTCTGTGAATCGCCAACATCACGCGCTCCTCCCCAGCCACCCGTTCCTCCCCGCAGTCCTTCCCCTCCACTCCCTTCCCATTCTCTGCTCACGCAGGGAGCCCAGGAAGCCTCGCCTCAGAGATGCTACCGCTGCTGCTGCTCCTGCTGTGGGCAGGTGAGTGGGCCGGGGGAGAGGGGCCGTGGGGCTGGGCCGAGCTGATCTTCATGTCTCCACAGGGGCCCTGGCTTGGGAGCAGAGATTCCGGCTGGAGGGACCAGAGTTGTTGACGGTGCAGGAGGGTCTGTGTGTCCTCCTACCCTGCAGATTGCCCCCTATCTATTCACTCCGATACATTTATTATGGCTACTGGTTCCTGGAAGGGGCTGATGTTCCAGTGGCCACAAATGACCCACATGAAGAAGTGCAGGAGGAGACCCGGGGCCGATTCCACCTCCTCTGGGATCTCAGCAGTAAGAACTGCTCCCTGAGGATCAGAGATGCCCGGAGGAGGGACACTGCTGTATACTTCTTTCAGTTGAAGCAGAAATGGCCAAATTTTGGTTACACATCTTATGTATCTTCCAAGCTCTCTGTGTGTGTGTTGGGTAAGGAACCAGCCCCAGGACTGGCCATCAGGGGAAGATCATGGGGGCTGTAGGGCAGGGCTGGGACTGGACTCCCGTCCTGGGAGGTGGGTAGAATTAAGCCTGTTGGGCTCAGGGGAGGAGCTGAAGCAGAGACTGGGCTTCCCTCTGGGTGAAACCTCACACCCCGGTCCTGATCCTGCGTCCCCATCTCCTCACCAGCCCTGACCCACAGGCCCAGCATCTCCATCCCAGGGACCCTGGAGTCCGGCTGTTCCAGGACCCTGAACTGCTCTGTGCCCTGGGCCTGTGAGCAGGGGACGCCCCCCATCTTCTCCTGGATGTCAGCTGCCCCCACCTCCCTGGGCCCCAGGACCACCCAGTCCTCGGTGCTCACGATCACCCCACGGCCCCAGGACCACAGCACCAACCTCACCTGTCAGGTGACGTTCCCTGGAGTCGGTGTGACCATGGAGAGAACCATCCAGCTCAATGTCTCCTGTGAGTGCTGGGCCAGGACCCCCGGGTCCCTGAGGGATGTGGGGGGGACAGGGCAGGGCTGAGCCAGAGCTTAAAGTTGGGGACCTGGTCGCCAAAGAGGAGAGCTCCCTTCCCTGTTTTCATGGCTCCTGAGGGGAAGGCCCCATGCCTACTGTTCCTCTTCAGGGATGTTGAGGCTGCCACCTCTTTCCACCCCAGATGCTCCACAGAAAGTGACTGTCAGCATCTTCCAAGGAAATAGCACAGGTAGGAACCAGCCTGTCCTGTTCTCTCCAGGGCTGGATGGAAGCAGAGTGGGGACTAACGGGGATCAATATGAGAAGCCAGGACTAAGGCCTCCATAGCCTTCAAAGCCCTGAACTGAATCTGTCCTCACCCCCAGCCTTTGTCACCTCATCCACAGGAGCTGCCACACCCCTCGCACTCCCCCTTCTCTCTGACGCTGCTTGTTTTCCTACTGCCGCAGGCATCTCCGTGGTCCAGGAATGGCACTTGTTTGCCACGACGCTGTCCCCAGCCCCTGCTCCACGCTCTGCAGGGCAACCTGGGCTGCTCCAGGGAAATGGTCTGGGCTCTTCTGAAGACCTGAGGCCCCCACTTTACTAGTCTCCTCCTCAGAGCTAGTGGGGACCCCACAGGAGGAGAGGGACACCAGTGCCTTGCCCCTACACCCCATCTCTCACTCTCTGCACCTCTCTCCCCAAAGCCCTCAAAATCCTGCAAAACACCTCGTCCCTCCCCGTCCTGGAGGGCCAGGCTCTGCGGCTGCTCTGTGATGCTGACGGCAACCCCCCTGCGCACCTGAGCTGGTTCCGGGGCTTCCCTGCCCTGAACGCCACACTCATCTCCAATACCGGGGTCCTGGAGCTGTCGCAAGTAGGGTCTGCAGAAGAAGGAGGTTTCACCTGCCGCGCTCAGCACCCTCTGGGCTCCCTGCAAATCTCTCTGAGTCTCTTTGTGCAATGTGAGTGTGGGGAGGTGCGCGAGAGTGTGGGCAGCTGGGCGAGAACTCCGTAGTATTCAGAGAAGAGGCCCCTGCTAAGTCCTGTCCTCCTTCCCCAGACCCCTCACAACTGCTGGGACCCTCCTGCCTCTGGGAGGCTTAGAGTCCACACTGCAGCGGCTCCTCCCTGCACTGGAAGCTTGGGGAGGGGATGCTGGAGGAATGGGAACAGCAGCCATGGCTCTTTCACAGTCACCCCTAGCCAGCCGGTCCCTTGGCCAACAGCTCCCTGAGCCTCTGCCAGGGATTCAGCTCAAGTCTCAGGCTCAGCTTCGAGGCCCAGAACATCCCAGAGCAGCTCTGTCCCAGCTGCTACCAGGTCAGGAGTCTGCTAAGAGGTGACAGCTGAGGGAAGAGAAGCCTGGGTTCTTGCATGAGTTTGCTAGGGCTGCCATAACAAAGTATTTCAAAGTGCATGACTTAAACAATAGGGATGTATTGTCTCACGGTTCTCAAGGTCAGAAGTCCAAGATCATGCACGGTGTTAGAGTTGGTTCCTTCTGAGGCTGTGAGGGAGAATCTCTTCCATGCTCCTTCCCTGGCTTCTGGTGGTTTCCTGGGAGTCTTTGGCGTTCCTTGGTTTGAAGGAGCATTGCCTTGACCTCTGACTTAATCTTCACATCCTCATGTGCGTCTGTGTCCACATTTTCCTTTTTTTTTTTTTTTTTTGGAGAGGAAGACTCACTCTGTTGCTAGGCTGGAATGCAATGGTGTGATCTTGGCTCACTGCAATGTGATAATCTGACATATGCAACCTCCACCTCCCGGGTTCAAGCGATTCTCCTGCCTCAGCCTCTCGAGTAGCTGGGACTACAGGCGCTCACCACCATGCCCAGCTAATTTTTATATTTTGAGTAGAGACGGGTTTCACCATGTTGGCCAGGATGGTCTCAATCTCCTGACCTCGTGATCTGTCCGCCTCAGCCTCCCAAAGTGATGGAATTACAGGTGTGAACCACCGCACCCAACCCACATTTTCCCCTTTTTATAAGGACAATAGTCATATTGGATTAGGGCTCACCCTGATCCAGGATGACCTCATTATAACTAATTACATCAGCTATGACCCTTCTCCAAATCAGGTCACGCTTTCAGGTGCTGGGGGTTAGGACTTCAAAATAGGAATTGTGGGGAGACATAATTTAACCCTAACTGCTCCAGAGAAATGAAGCTTGGAGAAGACGTTTCCAAGGCCCAGACCAGAGTGGCTAGGGACGCAACGTCCTCAGTCTTGCAGTTGGGGGAAGGGGGAGTCATGGAGAGAGAAGAGGCTGGTTCCGGGTTCACAGGGCAGTGAAGTGGTGAGTGACTGAGTCCTGGATTGGGGGTGGTCACATTAGTGGAAGGTGGAGAGGAATGGCTGTTGGGAGGATGTACTGGAATTGGAACTGGAGTTCACTCAAAATTCCAATTATAGGGAAACCAGAAGGCGGGGTTAGTGGTGTCCTGGGAGCAGTCTGGGGAGCTGGCACCACAGCCCTGGTTTTCCTCTGTGTTGGTTTCATCTTCAGGTGAGACTGGGCTCCAGGGAGGCACAGAAAGACTTGATGTGGGAAGGGCACACAGGTGGCAGAATCTCAGAAAACCAAGTGGAGGAAAATGGGGTGCTTGGGAAAGTCGAGAGTGAGGAAAGGGAGGGTAGTGGTGGTGTGAATTACCCCGTTGACCAGCTGAGCCAAGCATGAGGTCTCTTTGAAACCATGGTTCAACTCTTGGGCTTGTGGGATCACCTGGACCTCTTCATTACTTCTGTACTCTCCATAGGGAGTGGGGAGATGGTTCTTTTTTGGGGAAAGAGGCTCCAAATAACCAGACTGAAAGGCTTGATGCTGTTCCCTCAGAGTGAAGACCAGAAGGAAGAAAGCAGCCCAGCCAGTGCAAAACATGGATGATATGAACCCCGTCATGGTCTCAGGCTCCAGGGTGAGTGATAGAGACCTTAATTTCCACTCAGCATTACCCCTTTTGAATGCTGCCCTATGTAAGGACCCTGAGGCATTTCTTCATTAACACCTGACATTCCGTGCAGTTCCACATGTGACTATTTTAAAGTTTTGATTCAGTAATAATTTAAAAAGTGTTGATGTCAATAATTTAAAATAGTCACATGTGCAACTGAATCTAATAGTTCTGATGAAATATGTACTCCAGTTAGTTTGTTGGGGGTATTTATGCTCCTCATATATCAGATTATCATATTTCCTGGAATATTAGCCTTTTCTTATGGCATTGATTATTGAGAAAAAGAAATGAACAAAACTTAGTCTGTGTCAGGTGCATTAAGTACAAGGAATGTGGTAGATACAAGCCCTATAGTAGACAGTCCAAATCAACCCGAAGTCATTACTGCTCATCACCATTACATTGCATTTTTCACATCAACTACAGTATTTACTTAATGTCAGCTTTATGACATTATGGAGGAGGCATACTTTATAATAGAAAGCACGCATTTTAAGTGTCCAGTTAAATTAGTTTGGGCAAATGTACACACACTGTAACCATGTCCCCACTTAAGATAGGGAATCTTTTCATCATCCCTCCAAGTTTTCTCATTTTCTTTCCCAGTCAATGTCTCATTTCCAGCAATCACTTTTATGACCCCTATCACTATCTGTTAGTTTCGTCCATTCTGGAACTTCATGAAAATGGAATCGCACAATACTTACTCTATGTAACTGGCTTCTATCACTTCATTAAATATATAAATATATTAAATGTATATGCACTCAATAACAGAGCATTATTTATCAAAATAAATGAACAAAAACCAACAGAGCTGCAAGGGGAAATAGATACATCCACGGCTATAGTTGATTTGCTATACAGATAATTTTGTCACCCAGGTAATCAGCATAACACCCAATAGGTTATTTTTCAATTCTCACCCTCCTCCCACTCTCCACCCTCAAGTAGGTCCTAGTGTCTATTGTTCCCTTCTTTGTGTCTATGTGTGCTCAATGTTTAACTCCCACATTTAAATGAGAACATACAGTATTTGGTTTTCTGTTCCTGTGTTAATTTGCTTAGGATAATGGTCTCCAGCTCCATCCATGTTGCTGCAAAGGACATGATCTCATTCTTTTTTATGGCTGCATAGTATTCCATGGTGTCTATGTACCACATTTTCTTTATCCAGCCCACCATCGATGGGTATCTAGGTTGATTCTATGTCTTTGCTATTGTGAATAGTGCTGCAATGAACAAATGCATGCATGTGTTTTTAAGATAGAATAATTAATATTCCTTTGGGTATATACCCAGTAATGGGATTGCTGGGTTGAAGGGTAATTCTACTTTAAGGTCTTTGAGAAATCTCCAGACTGTTTTCCACAGTGGCTCAACTAACTTACATTCCCACTAGCAGTGTATAAGTGTTCCTTTTTCTCTACAACCTTGCCAACATCTGTTATTTTTTCACTTTTTTTAGTAATAGCCATTCTGACTTGCGTGAGGTGGTATTTCACTGTGGTTTTGATTTGCATTTCCCTAATGATTAGTGATTTGAACATTTCTTTTTTTACTTGTTGGCCATATAAAAGTCTTCTTTTGAGAAGTGTCTATTCATATTCTTTGCCACTTTTTAAAGGAGTTGTTTGGTTTTTGCTCGTTAATTTGTTTAAACTCCTTATAGACTCCGGATATTAGAAGTTTGTTAGATGTTTGTAGTTTGTAAATATTTTCTCCCATTCTGTAGGTTGTCTGTTTACTCTGCTGATAATTTCTTTTGCTGGGCAGAAGAAGCTTTCCTCTTAACCCTGATCTTTAGTTTAATTAGGTCCCACTTGTCAATTTTTGTTTTTGTGGAAACTGCTTTTGGAGTCTTGGTCATGAAATCTTTCCCAGGGCCAATGTCCAGAATGGTGTTTCCTTGGTTTTCTTCTAGAGTTTTTAATATTTTACATGTTACATCTAAGGTTTTAATTCATCTTGAGTTTTTTTTTTTTTACATGGTGAAAGCTGGAAGTACAGTTTTGATCTTCTGCATATGACCAGCTAATTATCCCAGCACCATTTATTGAATAGGAAGTCCTTTCCTCACTGCCTGTTATTGTCAGCTTTGTCAAAGATCAGATAGTTGTAAGTTTGCGGCGTTATTTCTGGGTTCTCTAAACTGTTCCATTGTTCTATGTGTCTTTCTGTACAAGTATCTTGCTGTTTTAGTTACTGTAGCCTTGTAGCGTTGTCTGAAATCAGGTAATATGATGCTTCCCGGTTTGCTCTTTTTGTTTGGGGTTGCTTTGGCTATTCATGTTCTTTTTTTATTCCAAATGAATTTTAGAGTGGTTTTTATTAGTTCTGTGAAAAATGTCATTGATAGTTAAATAGGAATAGCATTGAATCTGTAAATTGCTTTGGACAGTATGGTCATTTTAATAATATCAATTCTTCCTATCCATGAGCGTGGAATGTTTTTCCATTTGTTTGTGTTGTCTCTGACTTCTTTCAGCAGTGTTTTGTAATTCTCTTTTTAGAGATCTTTCACCTCTGTGGTTGGTTAGCTCTATTTCTAGGCATTTTATTCCTTCGTAGCTATTGTGATGGGATTGCATTCTTGATGTGGTTCTCATCTTTGATGTTACTGGTGTATAGAAACGCTGCTGGGTTTTGTACATTGATTTTGTATCCTGAAACTTTTCTGAAGTTGTTTATCAGATCTAGGAACCTTTGAGCAAAGACTATGGAATTTTCTAGATACAGAATCACATCTTCTGCAGAGATAGTTTGACTTCCTCTCTTCCCATTTGGATGTCTTTTCTTTCTCTCGCATTATTGCTCTGGCTAGGACTTCCAGTACTGTGTTTAAGAGGAATGGTGAGAGAGGGCATCTTGTATTGTTCTAGTTCTTCCAGCTTTTGCCCATTTAGTATGATGTTGGCTGTGGTTTTGTCATAGATGGCTCTTATCATTTTGAGGTATGCACCTTTGATGCTTAGCTTGTTCAAGGTTTTTAACATGGAGGGATATTGAATTCTATCAAAAGCCTTCTCTGCATCTATTGAGATGATCATGCGGTTTTTATTTTAGTTCTGTTTATGTGATACATCATATTTATTGATTTGCAAATGTGGAACCAACCTTTAATCCCAGGAATAAAACCTACTTGATTGTAGTGGATTAGCTTTTTGATGTGCTGCTGGAATTGGTTTGCTAGTATTTTATTGAGGATTTTTGCATGTATGTTCATTAGGGCTATTGTCCTGAAGTTTTCTTCTTTCATTGTGTCTCTGCCAGATTTTTAGTATCAGAATGATGCTGGCCTCATAAAATTAGTTAGGGAGGAGTCTTTCCTTCTTGATTTTTTGAAATAGTTTTAGTAGGACTGGTACCAGCTCTTCTTTATACATCTGGTAGCATTCAGCCGTGAATCCATCTGGTTCAGGACTTCTTCTGATTGGTGGGTTTTCCTACCACTGATTCAATTTCAGTACTCATTACTTAACTGTTTGGGGTTTCAATTTCTTCCCGGTTTAATCTTGGGAGGTTTTATAATATGTTTCCAGGAATTTGTTCATTTCTTCTAGGTTTTCTAGTTTGTGGGCATAAAGGTGTTCATAATAGTCTGAGTGTTTTTTCTTCTTTTGTATTTTTGTGAGATTGGTGGTAATGTCCCCTTCATTATTTCTGATTGTGTATATTTGGTTATTCTTCCTTTTTTATTATCCAGATAGTGGTCTATCAGTCTTATTTATTCCTTCAGAAAACCAACTTTTGGTTTTGAAAAAGTCTTTTGTATGTTTTTTCTCACCTCCATTTTGTTCAGTTCAGCTCTAATTTTGGTTACTTCTTTACTTCTGCTAGCTTTGGGGTTGGTTTGCTCTTGTTTTTCAAGTTCCTCTAGATGTGATGTAGGTTGCTAATTGGTTAGATATATGTAACCATTTCACTTGGGCATTTAGTGCTGAAAACTTTCCTCTTAACACTGCTTTAGTTGTGTTCCAAAGATTCTGATATGTTGTATCTTTGTTTTCATTTATTTCAAACAATTTCTTGATTTCTGCCTTAATTTCATTGTTTACTCAAAAGTCATTCAGTGGCAGATTATTTCATTTCCATTTAGTCGTATGGTTTTGAGAGATCTTCTTGGTATTGATTTCCATTTTTATTGTGCTGTGGGCTGAGAGTGTAGTTGGTATGATTTGTTTTCTTCTTTTTTTTTAATTTGTTGAGACTTGCTTTACGGTCAAGCATGTGGTCAATTTTATAGTATGTGCCATGTGCTGATGAGGAGAATGTGTATTCTGACTTTGTTTAGTGGAGGGTTGTGCAGATGTCTGTTAGATCCATTTGCTCAAGTGTCAAGTTTAAGTCCTGAATATCTTTGTTAGTATTATGCCTGGATGATCTGTTCAATACATCAGGGGTGTGTTGAAGTTTCCCACTGTTATTGTGTGGTTATCTGAATTTCTTTGTAAGTCTCTAAGAACTTGCTTTATGAATCTGGGTGCTCCAGTGTTGATACATATATACTTATGAGAGTTGAGTCTTCTTCTTGAATTGAACCCTCTATCATTATGTAATTCCCTTCTTTGTCCTTTTTGATCATTGTTGTTTTAAAATATATTTTGTATGAAATAAGAATAGCAACCCCTGCTTTCCATTTGCTTGATAGATCTGTCTCCATCTCTCTGCTTTGAAACTATAGGTGTAATTGCATGTGAGATGGGTCTGTCGAAGATAAAATACAGTTGGGTCTTGCTTCTTTATCCAACTTGCCACTCTATGCCTTTTAATTTGGGTATTTAGCTCACTTATGTTCAAGGTTAATATTGATATGTGAGGATTAGGTCCTGACATCATGTTGTTAGCTTGTTGTTATGCAGACTTGATTTTTGTATTTGCTCTATAGTGTCAATGATCTATGTACTTAAGTGTGTTTTTGTGGTGGTAGGTAAATGTTTTTGTGTTCATGTTTGGCGCTA